AGGAGCAGGTGCAACTGGTCATGTAATAGATTAACTGAATTCCTCGCAAACGTGAGGAAAGAAGCGTACATTTAAGGGCTCATTATTTTGTTAGATGTCATACGTATCGTACACCGTTTTCTTGTTGAATGAGGAAGAAGAAATGGACAGGGATTTTAGCCATGCCTTGTTTTGTGGTAGAGTGTGCATAGGCCAGGCGGGACGCTCAAAGAACCTGAAATGTTCGTCACATCATCGGTAGGAGACTCGCCTGCTCGACTGAAGAAAGTGCGGTTGCTCACCAGTTTTTAACGATACCCAGCAATGAAATAAAGTCGAAAGGGCAATGATGAAAGCATATATCAAGTGCCCCGATATGCGATAAGGAACTGACTGGAGAATATAAAATTCAAAGAAAGAACACAGTCCTGATCGTGTACCTCCCATAGCGTTATCACGAAAAGACACTGGTAATCTTTTTAGAGAAATGTAATTTAGAATGTATCGTGGCCTGGGTTAAATCTTTATGGTTTTTACGGCGCATGGCCTCGTGTTGGTTATTTAATATGTGATTGTCTCATGCGCAGTGCTTCCATCTGTACTAGCCGCATCACGAGTAGCACATGTTTGTCTTGGTTTTCTTTTCGAACCATGTTGCTTCATTGAAAATACTGACGTCCAAGCTTGCGTGTTGAATATCGTTGTGTGCGCACGTCCTTCAAGGCTGGGTTCATTATTCTTTTAAATGATATGCCAGCAGGTTACCGCCATGAATCTTGTGAGACATATGCAAAGACAGTACCAAAAAAAAGCAGCATATCAACGGAGTGAATGATGATTGGTAGTGCGAAGCGTTCGCCAGGCCGTTCGTGCTTTCGTGAGCCCATTCATTCTTGCTTCTGTCCATCCATGCGCCCGTCCATGCGTCCGTTCACCCGTGTGACCGTCGGTGCATCTGTCCGTCCGTGCGTCCCTCTATGCATCAGTACGTCCGTTATTCCGTTTATCTGTCCATGTGTCTGTTCGTGTGGTCGTCCCTCACTGTCTGTCCGTCCGTCTGTCCACCCCTTTGTCTTTCTGTGCGTCCATCAGGCCATTCGTCTATCTGTACGTCCGTCCATCTATCTACTGAACACTCCCAAGTACATCCATCCCACATATTTTCATCCATGTATTCATCATATAGAGGTGCCGCCATCCAGCGGACAAATTAAGGACCGCTCTTTCGGGTATGTGCCACCGGTGGCTACATACACCATCAGAGGATGGACAGACCCACACCCTAAGAAGTTTCGCCCTTAAAAAAAGATTGCTGCACATGTTTGGAAGCAATAAACATACATTCAACACACGTACCGTGGTGGCATGGCGTTTTTGCATTTTCGATCCCAGCCGCGGTAATCGCTATTTGACGAACGCTAAACGGTTGGTCAAAACGTCCCCAAAAATAATAATGTACTGCACACGACTTGTGATAAGTGCCCCCACCCCCCTCGCCCCAGCTTTTCCTCCATTTTCAGTGTGCATGCTCAAAAACAAAGCATTTACGATACGTTTGGCAATTCTCTTCTAGTAATCTCATATGTCGTATTTTGCAGTTACTGCTAAAAGCTCTGAATTTGTGCCAATTAAGAAAAAAACACGCAGTAAAGAGCTTTTTGAACTTGTAGTTTCGGTTTCCACGCCGCCGACGACGAAAAGGGGCCGTTCGCCGACGACGCCTCAACACGAGCCCCACGCCGCCGCTGGACGAAACCGCCTCGGCGCACGCCACGGAGGAAGGAAAAAGGTCCTTTCCTTCCTCCGTGGCGCACGCACACCTTTACACGTGGACGTCGCTATAATTTTACGCATAATGACAACGTCCACCTACATGTGATTAACATCAGATTAATTTGACGAACTGACTAACAGCAGACTAATTTTATAAGCGTGTAGCGACAAGGACACTAGAATACAGTGTAACAAGGGCGAAGACAGTGCATTTCTCGTCCTCGTTATTGGCTGCTCACCATGGAGTTTCATACATTGCGGTAGGGTGTGTAATTGCCATAGAGGAATTGCACGTGTGGTAATTGCGGTCCATCGCAATTGCACGTACGCCATATGCATTGTACAAAACTCGGTGCTACTCACCCAAGGAGGATGCATAAAACTTGCTGGAGTGGAAGGGGCGCTGTGCGAGTGAAGCCAGCTGCCGCCATCTTGCCAGTGGCAAAAAGCGTGCTCAGCGCCATCGCGAGCTGCTCATTTCGTCCGTTCTTGTTTCACATTGTCGGCATGTAAACAAAAATGGTTTACAATGGTTGCCTTTTGCGTCGTTCACGGATGTGCCAACAGGTTGAAAAAAGGTTGTGGCCTCACATTCCACCTGTACGTACACGAAAACGTTTTCGACATAGCCATTCCGCACTCGTTACTAAAGGGAGCTATAGCTGACGCGATCTAAGCGTGCAAAACATAACAGTCCGGATTTGTTTTGCAGGTTTCCTAAAGATCCCGTAACTCGGAGCCTCTGGGAGTGGGCCGTTGGCCGTGAGAAGTAGAATGCGAAAGACTGAGATCACTTCGCTCTATGCACTTCGCGCCAGAGTGCTTTGACCACCTCTTTGACATTGAAGGGAAGCATGTGAAATTGGGTTATGAAGTGGCATTGAAGGCACTTCAACGTGAAGAAGTGTTGTGGCTCGGAAACATACTTACGAAAGTCCACGTCCAATGGGAAAAGCAAGAAAATGAAGGTATGATATGCTGTACGACTGATCGAGTGCCTCAGTTGCCGACGCTTTGGACTTCTGCAAACAAAAGCTAAAGCTGCCGCAATTCAAGGGTGCCAGCACAAGATCTACGTTTAATAGAACTTTCGATTGCTTGTTTGACATCTTAAACTCCAGGAACCCGCTGGCAAGGTCGTACAAAGCGCCCCTTCGGCAGGGGAACGAAGCATTCTGGAAGTCGTTTTTTGCGGAGACTCGAGCGTACATAAACGGGCTGAGAGATCCGGCAGTGACAGAAGGACTGAAAAAAAAAAAAAACAGATTCATTAGTTTTTGGATACGCATGGCAAGCACGGAAAGAATGTTTGACAGACTTGTCAGCCAGGGTCAGCTGAAATACTTACTGACACACAAACTCAGTCAAGAGTATGCCGAAAACTTCTTCGACTCAATACGTGGATGAGGAGGCCATAACAACAACCCAACAGCTTCGCAGTTTATGGCTGCATACAAGCGTCTATTGATTCAGACGGAAGTGACGTCTTCAAGTTCTGGACACTGCTCCCAAGATGTTTTCTCCGTATTGAATGCAACGACTCCTGCAGCCATGGTAGATCCAAGAAGCCATCTCACTGACATGCGCCAGGCCCCAGTCTTGCAGCCCGATGACCACGACAATACGCATCGCATTGACTAGCCCGAAAGCTTTTCAGCTTTTGTTGGTTCTGTGGTGCCATACATAGAAGGCTTCATTGTTCGAAAGGTCGAACTGCAACTACATGTGAAGAGTGCATAGCAGCCATGCACTCAGATGAGCTGACACCTTTAATTAAATGTAAGAGGCGAGGTGATCTTTTTTCACCGTCGCGAGATGTCTTTAGCCTCTGTAAACAGTCGAGGACTGAGGCGGCTACAGGCTGAATGTGATTCCATCACAACGGTGAAGTCAAGAGCAAAACACCTCATCCTGAAAGTTCTATGAGCTTCCTCCGAGAAAAACTGGTTCCATAAACTAGAGCAGCACGTCCTAGACTTTGATACGCTTGATAATCAGGTTTACAGTTTGTGCAGGCAAATCGCCGAACAATACGTAAAAGTGAGGATACAACACATGACGAAGGAAAAAAAAAAAACGAGAATCGGTCAAAAGTAAGGTGGGACCACTTTTGACAAGGGCAATAATTTTCAACCACCAGTAGGGCACCTATGTTTTCGATGATGTGTTTGCTTTAGGCATCGCTATTTGATGCATATGCACTTTAATTGAGTTCTCTACATGCCACTTGGCTGCGTACAAGTCGCAATAAACATTTACAACCAGAATTACTTGTTTTCGTTGCTTTATAAACACACGAGTCACTTTCACCCGCAGCGCGATGAAGCATAAATTTGCAGCGCTCGGCTCTTTTCTGCCACTGGCAACATGGCCGCCGCACGCACGGCGTGGCTTCACTCTAGGTCCGTTCGATTCGCCTGCACCACGTGAACCAGTTCACGAGGTGCTGCACCTTGCCATTCGTTTCAGCGGTGCAGCAATGGCGACCGCTGAACCCTGCCATTCGTTTCGAAAGGTGCAGGATAGATGCAGCACCGGTTCATGATTTTCCTGCACCTCCTTCGCTGACGGTGCCGGCTTGGTGCAGGCGCGCGTGCAGCTGAGCAGACGACGCAGCACTTAGACGTAGGTGGCTTAGGCGCCGTACCCGCCTCTACAAATGCGGTGTGTTTTGCCAAGATGTTTGCGCCTCATAAACTGTCCGCATGTTCGATTTGCCATCGGTCAGTGTTTGCTGAACGGTGTAAATTAAGCGAAAAGAAATAAGGCCTGCACCTTGTCGGCACATCGTCATTCGTTTCGGGTGTCGTGCTGTGCCTGCACCGCTGAACTCACTCACGCTGCACAATTTCTGAACTTCGCGTGCACAGCCGTGAATTGGTTCCGACCGGTGCAGGTGAATCGAACGGACCTTCTCTCTCGTAGCGGCGCTGCCGGTGCATGGGCGGCTTCCACCAACACCACCTAGAGGAAATTCGGTGTCGGTGGCGTTGCTACTACTCCAGCAAGTTTTATGTATCCTCCTTGTACTCACCCAACTTTCCGTTCTCTTGAATATTTAAAAAATTGTATTGAATATTATTCATTTTTAAATATCATTGCCTTTTTTAACATCTAAACATTTTTTTTAAAGTATAGTTTTTATGCATTTTTATAAACGTTACGCCAAGCTGCCACACTTCTAAGTCAGTCTACACTTTTAGAGAACTCAGACAAACAAGTTAGCAACATTGAGCATTTGAATCTTGAAAGTCCCGGATGTTGCCTTGTTGGCCTCGTGTTCTGGCGTTAGTAGCGTCTCTGTCGGCGTCGTGTTTTTTCGCTAGCCCCAGGTTTTTCGCTAACCCCAGCCCTTGCGCTGAAATTGTTCGGAAGTCGTCTCCTCAACTAGTGTTCGAAAATGATGTTAATGTACTACCTGGATGAAAGTGGCAATCGAGTGTACACTCTGAAGCAGGTCTCTCCTGACGGAAAGCCGACGACCACGGCGCATCCGTCGCGTTTTACGCCTGACGACAAGTACTCCAAATACAGAATACTCATCAAGCGTCGTTTCAACTTGCTACCAACGCAGCAGCCGAAGCAAACCTTCTAGACAACAAGCAGCAAGAGAGTTGGGGTGACGGGACCGAAAAGCTAGGGAAAAAAAACAAAAAAACTTCGCTATTCTTATTTCTTGTTAGGGTAGTATTTGCTGAATTAAGTCGTCATGGCAGGCCTAGAAGAGGTTGGCATTCCGGGTCGGGAGTTTCTTCGTGAGGCTCTGACCAATTGTTCTGACCCACTACGTGCAATTGAAGAGTTTCAAGAAGAAAATGGCATCCTGTTGCCGTCTTTACGTCCTATGTTGCCTTTGCTTGACTTGCACGGGGTCTGCAGGCTCGAATTTCACACATCTGTGTTAGAAGAGTTAAAGGAACGCCTTCTACAGCAAATTGAAAACCTTGGTAAGCAGGAAGGCCGTGAGAAGGAGAAAAAGCTGAAAGAGATGTTGCAGAAAAGTTTTCCAGTCATCAAGGTACGAGGCTCCTGCTTTTCTTTGTGCGTGAGTGATCACTTGGACGTGTGTTGCATGCAGATTTTGCTTGCCTTCATTTAGCCACTCGTGAAGCTCTCTGAATTGTGTTCTAATTTTGTGAACACAGGCCTACATACTGTTTCAGGAACTGTATGCGGTGATCCCCGCATTTAAGCTGCTTGACAAGAACCCTACACCTTGACAGGAACATAGAGGTCTGCGAAATTTTTGCTAGCAGCGTATGTTTACAGCCTCGAAGGAAAAACATTTCATTTCCATGAAACGTCATTAAGTGAACTTAAGGGCATCTTCCCTAAGTACCGTCACACAAAGAAAACGAGTTGCATTTGAAAGTGACGACTGTGCAATGGCTTTAGCAAACTTGCATTTGACGTTGCATATCCTAAGAGTAATTCACAAACTCAACACTGAAAAATAGCTGTAAGAGGCATCAACAACAATATTGCATGGCACTTTTGTGCAGTTTGTTGCAACTGACACAAGTCAAGCTAAAATACATGAAAAACATAGCTGGTGATGTCATGAAGCGTGGAAATAGTGTGACCATCTTTTTAACAATTTGATTTCTGGTTACATGCTTTGTAAAAACCTGAGTTTTGTGCGACTTTTTTTTTTTTCTGAAGGCTATGCATTTGGCCCCAAATCAATTGAGAATGCGAATTAAAAGGGATGTCATTAGTTTTATTGTGAGCGAATGTCATTCATGGTAAGTCACTTATACATAGTGTTCATGTGATGTCACTTCCGCCGTTGTTGCCCTCTCCCGCCATGGCTGGGTACCTCCCTGAGTACCTACGGCAGTTCGCGTTCTGCAGCGTGGTTTGTTGGGGGCTCGTCATCTGTTGCTATGTACGATGTTGAAAGGGAAGCATTGTGGTTTTTTGTTGGCGTACTTTAACGAGCTCATCGAATTAGGAAGGCCTCGTTTGTTCACTCAATACAAGACCAGAAAATCAAGGTGTGTGGCACATATACCAGCCACCGTGTACACCGGCTGCCCGCCACGACCTAAGGGGGCCCATTATCTCGCTTTCCCTACAAACACTACAAATTGCGGAGCCCAAGAACAAGTGAAAGCCCAAAGTCTCTCTAGTCGCAATTTTAAGAGTGGATGAGCGAAGCGCAGCAGCTCCCATCGAAAATGAGTCATGCAGAGCTAGGCAACTATACAAGAGATAAGATATTAATATATTGCTGCGGCCCAAGCCACCAAAGTAGCAGCCCCTCCTCCCCCCAAGTGTTTTAAACAGTGCTGATGTTGAGCCTCTTTGATTGAAATTTGTGGAAACAGCCAAGGAAAATATTATATGAGGCAGATAGAGACTTCGTGCGGTGCATGCCGCGGTAATTCCGGCCATCACTTTTTTTTTTTTCGTGTATGTTTTGACACCATTTTCACCTTGTATTTTACTTTTTTTGCACGCTAATGTACAGTGGAGTCCCTGAAAATGATGGAGACCGTGTTAGGGAAATAATTGACCAATTTTTCAAAATCCTGACCCCCCAACTCGAACCGATCGGCTATATACTTCAAAGTGAACTAATATTGTTTCGCATCCATTTTCACAGTTTGTTTCAATGCATCACCCGAATTTCCGCGATAGCCATCACGATTTTAACTGCCTCCCTGACACGCTGATTGTGCGTGCAGTGGTCACGGACAAGTTTGTATGTACAGTATCTTGGTGAGCTATCTCTGTTTGCAGGTAAGTGCTTGGCTATGGCACTTACCCGGAATGAAGTTGCACCTGAAGATCCAAATATCACCGAGTTTCTTCAAGTAGTTTTTTTGTTGATCCGCGTCAGCCAAACACGCCGGTGCTTTTTGGAAAATCACGCTGTGCGTTCTCAATTTTAGGTAATAACTTTTGGCGAAGAAACACCCCGAAGTTATGCTCCCTCTTCGGGGACTACTAAATCAACTTGCCTCACTAGCAGCCCACAAACTTGCATCGTGAGGCAAAACTAAACGGGTGCAAGCACGAGGAGACAACACGGCAGCGGTAGCCGACGGAGTTGGTAGGTACCCGGGCATGTCGGTGGCGCATTCCGGAAGTGACGAAGGGGCGCTGCGTGACGCACGTGCACACTATGTATTTGCTGCGTGACAGCGGCATTACCTGTCACTACAGTAACAAGCCCCGCTTTATGAATACCATGGGTCTTCAATACTTACGGTCAAAGCCAAAGAACAGTAACGCTGTTTGACTGGTCAGCTTTCTGTGTTTTGCATTTACACCCTAAGTTGCATGCATTGGGACTTGTTTCTGTAGTGCGGATTACTTGTGTTTTGCAACGAACTTGGAACAATTTGAAGAAATGAAAAAATGCATTGTTTATGAGGTACTGACTTTTTATCATTCCTGCACCCTAGGTTTTTTTACAATTGTTGTGTTCCAAGCACCCCTGTGTGTTGTGTTCCAAGCACCCCTGTGTCACGAGCGAGCCTCTGAACCCGCGAAGGACTGGTTGCTGAAACTGCTTCTAGATGTTGACTCCTCCCCTTCCCCCGCTCGGCGCAAACGAGCCACCGTCGTTTCCCCCGGCAGTTCGGCCGCCGCCTCCATCCGAATAGGAATAAACTTGTTTTTAACCGTTCGAGGCTGTCTGAGCTTTTTGGACTACCGCGACCCACACGTACGTCTATGGGCCGACAACAACACCGGACATAACAATGAATCACCAACTATCCTGTCAGTCCTGCTTTAGACAAGCCTAAAATTTTCGTGCATGACACAGATTCCTGGTGTTCCTTTTGTGGGGGCAATGTTAAATGAGTACTGTCTCAAAATTTTGGGGCTGAGATAGCCTGCGGGGTCGATTCTCATGAACACTCGTATGTCATCTGCAAGATATCAATAGCGAATATAGCTTGGAAGGTATTTTAAATTAATTTTGAAGATTGCGTGAGTGACCAACTCCATAGCGCTATAGACACCCTCGAAGGGGACCCAGAGGTGAACCCCTACTTCGCTCACGTCACCACGCTGTAGTTAACAAAAGTTATGACGACGTCGTAGCTGCCATTTTTCTTTTGCCACGTTAGTTCCCGAAGTCTATATTTCTCGGCGGCTGGTTGCGAGTGTCTGGTTGTGGCGCACGCTTAGAAAGTTTTGTGTTTGGTGACATTCCAGTGTCGTTTCCTATTCGAAAGTAGTTCTTGATGCGGACCGTGCGGAAGTGTGTCACAGTTCTGTGTGCTGACGTGGTCAAGAGCTGCACACACTAGGTGACGAAAGTTGCACCCAGTTTTTGGAACTCTCAAACCAAAACTGAAACTGATTGATAATGAGGTGCCTGTAATTAATTATCTGTCGCCTGCTACAGCAAACAATGCGTCGTGTCATGACTAACAGGCCCCCAGCAACGCATTGCAGTAGAAAAACGCAAGGCCAAATTTTTGTGTCAGTACCCCTTTAATGTGGAAGATGGAGTGACGGTGCACCAAGTTTTCAGTGGAGTACGTGCTACCACTGGTGGTGTTTACACAATATGAAGCACAGGCGCATTCTGCAAGATTGGTCGCACGATTCTTATGTAGCGCAGGACCACAAGAGCCATGAAAACAATCACCACTTGGAAGAGTCTTTAAAACTCGCCAAACAATATGCTGGGTGAATTTTATCTAGCTTCCATATTTACAGTGCGAGACGGCGTAGAAAAGAAGGTGTCTTGTGTGTGTTGCTTTCTGTGGTGTCGTCTTGCACTGTAAATGTGGATCTGTAAAACTGCATATTCAAATGTAATTTGCAGACAGGACTACTGCACAGCTAAATTATGGTTTTCTTTGCGTGGCTGTTTTTATCATTGTTAAGGGGGAGATAGAGTGGCCCTAGTGTGCTTAGCAATGAGTAGTAAACTTTTCGCATACAGTTGTGCTCATTCAGTACATTTTGGAAAAGCTGAGTGCTCTGGCTCACTATGAAATTTGGTGTCGCATACCCATCTCAGTTATTGAAGCTCAAATTGCTGTTGCATATTTTGCAATAATAAAGAGGCCAAGCTTCATTGGTGCTTTCCAGAAATTCTGCTTTTTGTACGCGAACCCACGAGGCAGCCGAGTAGAAGAGTAACTGCTGTATAATACGAGGTATAAATGGCAATTACGCTGTTCATCATAATAATTCCGTTTATTGCCAAAGGCCTTTAGAGGTCGTTGCACAAATAATTGTGCACAGCCAATGCCAAACAAAGATCACTGCTCATTTGCTAAGTTTTCTTGTCAATTTACAAATCGACGTTAAACATTTTTGAACTATGGAACAGCAGGAGGTAAAACTGCATAATGTAATTCTTTTTACGCTGCAATCTTTCTTACAGCGCAAGCTGTTAATAGCTTACAGCAACAACCGATTTCGATGGCATAGTTATCGGCTTTTGCCGGTATCAGTTGCACCTATTGCACTCAATGAGAAAAGAATGGTTGTGAGGTGATTCCCGGGCGTTCTGTATGGCAAGCAAGTGTTTTACCACAGACTATTTAAGCAAGTATTATGTATGAAATTGAACCGTGTTAACAGATGTAATCTTGCCTGTTACAAGAATAGAATATTACCGGGTTTCAGACCGAGTGAATTACATAGCAAGTGGATGATTTAAAAGTTTCCCATCCATAATAAAGGGCTCGGCCACAATTCATTATAATCATCATCGACCGCAACTAAAACAGAGTACAGGTTTGTAGGTGTGCTCATTGCCTTAGGAGTGCAAAGTGGATTTTCACTACTTTCCAAAATATGCTGATTTATTACATAGTGGGTACCTCATGATCAGTCAGGTCGCGAGATCGAATCCCGGCTGTGGCGGCTGCATTTTCGATGGAGGCGGAAATGTTGTAGGCTTGTGTACTCTGATTTGGGTGCACTAAGAACCCCTGGTGGTCGACGTTTCCGGAGCCCTCAACTATGTCTCTCATAATCATATGGCAGTTTCATGACGTTAAACCCCACAAATCAGTCTTCAATGAAAACCTCATAACCAGTGATCGAAGTGCCGCTCCGATCGCTCCAAACTGCTTCAAAAGAGAAATGCTGCTCCAAACAGCAATTTTTGTGAGTAATTGCTCCAATCCTGCTCTGAAATGGCACTGATAGATTGAGAATGACAATATTTTATTTGAATTTAAACATTCGACTGGGTATGAAAACTGGGAAAGACCGGCCAATAATGGACAGGACTCCCGGTGTCGTTTGCAAGATCCCGTGCGCCAAGTGCCCTTCTTCGTATATCGATGAGATGAAAAACCTACCGGAACGACTCAAGCAACATGCCAACAACGTGCGGAACCTCTACAAAGAGCGCAGCGCAGTCGCTGAGCATGCTGAAACGTTGGACCACCGGACAAATTTTGAAGCAACGACCATCCTTGAAAGCGAGATGAACTGGAGGAGAAGGTTACTACTCGAGTCATGGCATATACAGCGAACTGCCCAAAACATCAACTGCGCTCTCGGAAGCCTTTCCCTAGTGTATGTACATAATCTGCGCTCCATGGCGAAATGAGAGAGAGAGGTGGGGGGGGGGTCATTAACCGCACCGTGAGTGCTGTGAAGATGCCGCTGCTACGTAGTCCCGATTTCGCTTAGGAGTGTGGCAGTTTGGGCTAGTTGGTATGACATGACGATAGTTATAGCGCAAGAACAGAATGACGACAAAGACTTCTTGTCTCTTTGTCGTCGTCCTGTTCTCGTGCTCTAACTATCCCAATTTCCCCCGAGGAAAAAACCAAGTTCGTTCCGAAACGTCGGGTTTCTTCACAAACTTTTTGGTTGGAGAATAAATCATTTTTAAATATTTTATTGTTTCACTATCACAAGAGTTCTAAAGAAACTGAAAAAAATCTGTGTGCTAGCATCTCAGTACACTATTAATGTGTACCATTGTTGGCTCGAATCTCATTCAAGCGACAAGAACTGACATATTAAGCATATAGCTCATATGCTTTTTTTTTTGACACGTAGGCTAGTGTGGCGAAATGTGAAAATGAGCAGTATTGCTTTTATCTCGTACCAATTATCTACTGCCTGTTTGGCAACAGCTGTGAGACTGTGGGTACTTTTGAAATGTGGTGCTCAGCTTTCCCGATTCGGTTTTATTCCTGTCACAAATACCAGTATTTTAAATACGTACCTGATTTCACAGCCAATTTTGACAACTAGCCGTATTTTTAGTTGCTTGCTTCTGGAATTTCACATTCGTTGTGGTCTGTGACATGTATTTCATAATAAATATTTATATTTGTGAGATGCTTTGACGATGCTTTGAACTCCAATTGGTGTATGGTAAATTTTGTATCTGCCCCTAAAAGACCAGTAGCTGCTCCAAACTAACATTTTTTTTCTCCCAAATTTCACTTGTGGCTATCCAAAACAGTACTTTTCTTGCTTCAAAGTATGTTTCAAAAAGTAAAAAGTCACTTCCATCACTGTGTAACTGTACTTGTAGGCACCCCAAGAGTACAACACTCCTGATGTAGAGGAGCCTGCCAGCTTATGCTGTGGTGGCTGGGCTGTGCGTTGCGCAAGCCTGGGGTTTTTCAAATTGTACAGTGATGTTATATTCATTTTGGTTTTTTAAATTGCATAGTGATCTTATATTCATTTTACAGAAATTTAAGTGATCTGTCATTTTCATACATGCTGTGTACAAGCCATTCTAATCACAGGCCATTCCTCCAGAATTTCAAAGCCGGAGTCATATTGAAGAAAAGGGGTCATTTGCTTAGTTTCTTATATCAATGCACGTACTATAAATTGACTGCACGTGGTTTGCCGTGAATTGGGAGCTATGGGTTTCACATCGAAACATAATAAACAATGATTACCTTTTTTTTTGCACACTGTTCAAAGCATGGTTGCATAAGAGCTTTTTTTTTACTATGAATTGGCATCAGCAAGAAATGAAATGCCTTCTTCCTCCAACTCTCAGAGACATATTTCTAGTACAGTAAATGGCGAGTCCAGGAAGACTGCCCATCTCAGGCTAGAATAGAATAGTCTTTGCTAGCCATTCGATCAATAAATGTTTACTTATTTTGTATTTTTTTATTTCTCAGTCTGAGAACTTCTGTTATATTTAGTTAGCATTTACCTTGCACTTTATGTTAAAGAAAATGTGGCCTTTTATATGCAACACAAATTTTGAGTAATTTAATTTTGTACTTTATTAGCAGGTATGTGGAATTATTTTTAAGGTTTATTTCATTACAGTTTTGCATATTACTCCCACTGAAAGGATACACTAAATCAGGTTGTCTCTTGATATAGGTACTATATACAGTGTCTAATATACAATGATTAACTGTATTTCTTGTCTTGGCAGGTTCCAGCACTTCGTCCAGTGGTTATGTGCATACTCAAAAATATGGAGCATGTAGAAGAGAAGTACCTCAAGCAACTGGTCAGCGATAAAACCCTTTACAAAGAGTGTGATGTCCAGGTAAGCCCTGTGCATGTTTGGACTAGTTTGCATTCCTCCATGCAAGTTTTCGGATAGGTAAAGTTGAGCAGGGTAAAAATTTACTTTGTTTCAACACATTGCACGCAAAGCACATGGACAAGGGAAGAAGTGCTTAGTTGCTATGCCCACACTGGCCCAAATTAGATTTTTTTTTAATGGTGATAAAAAAAGGGATGTTCGCACAGGGTGTATACAGGTCCCTTTTTGCGACTGTTGACAAGCATAGTCATCAGAATTTCTAACAAAATGGTCAATGTCGACTAGAGTTTTCATCAACAAAAGTTAGTTCCGCACAAAACCAATGGAGACTATATTTGCCATAATTGTTTCTTGATGCTAGTTCGCCACACTTGTCGATGTCAAGACATTTGTGTCCCTGCTTTCAATTTATTGCTAATTTTCACTCTATGGACATGTGGTGAAGCCACTTTCGAGTTATCTTTTTTTTTTTATGTGATTAGGGAAATAAAGGAATACCGCTGAATTTGAAGGATAATACTGTTATAGCCCAGAAAAAGAAAAAAAAGAACTTGACAGTTTGAGTGTAAGAGCTTTGGTGATTTTGAGGAGTTTTTTCTTTTTATTGTACATATTTGAATTTTAAAAGTATATATTGCAGGGCTCTTGACGTTTCTGCAAGTGTTTTCTTTTCTTCAAAGCCCTTGAATTTAAGAAATGCAGTCTAAAGTAAACTATGCAAATAGCCTTTTATGCTAGCTTAGAGCTGATTGTTCAGAAATCTTGTTTCAGAAACAGTGTGCTACCACAAGGGCACATGCATTTTTGTTTGTACGCACTTTGAGTAGTGTGAGGGACATGCCAGTAATTTGGTGCTCACTATCTCTGTTGCTTTCATTGTATACATGCTTGAAATTGGTCTTCTTCAAAATGTAATGTAGGTATTTCAACTTGTAGTGTTGGCCCAAGAAACCTAGCTGTTCTACAGTGGGAATTAGCTGTAGTTTGTGAGTTTTACAGAGTCAAACTATAAACATTAGTTGGGCTGCTCACATGCACTAGGCCGTCCTTGCAAAGCAGGTGCATGGGGATGTCCAGTTTCTGTTGTTTCTTGGACTTGCTCATAATGGTAAGAGCACAAACATAATAAGAAGACAAGACACAGGACGACAGGCTGACTTCAGCTAACACGTTTTTTTTTTTTCATTATGTCTGCATGCTTATGGAAAACCACCAATTTCAGACAAAATTCCACGAAAGAATGGCACAAGAAAACGCGAAAAAACGTTTTCCACAAATATGCACTCTGTGAGCCACTCCAGAACAGAACATTTACCTCCTATATAGTGATAAAAATTCGTTTTTTTTTTAACAAAGTAGTGAAAACATCCTTGTCTATTTCATGAGCTTCAATTATTTCGTGCACTGTCTTATCCTGGCATGTGTATACAACCGAAGTCTGATCAAATTTTGGATTATAGCAGCAATCCTAGCAAGGGGGCTTGACATCAGTTGTGTCATATTCTAATGGTGCTCCTTCAGCATCTCATTACCTGACCATTTGGCTGATATATTATTTCTTGATATATATGCACACGCACACGTATACAATAATGTGGGTTATGCAGTTGGTCAAAATTTAAATTTCAGTACTGTTCTTAACGTGGAGTGCTTTGCTGCCTTTAGTTTAAGTGTATAACGAAAGTGACACTGAAAGCAAGAAAAAATGTTTGTGCTGTCATTGGCTTGCTTTATGTCGGGCAGTAAAAGGGGGTGATGCTGTTTGTGAAGTTGCCCCATCTCACTCAGTGGCAAGCGGTTTGGGTTGCATTCAGGGTATGCGTCTCTTTAAAATTTGAAGCCCAACTTTAGGGAAACTATTTGAAAACACTTTAAGGTTTGTCTAGTGTCCGGGACATGCAGGCCCATGGTGCAACAAAAGGGTGGGCACTCTAGCTCGAGTACTCACGAACTGAGCAGAACACCAGCTTCTGTCCCTGTTACCACCACCCAACACTACACACAGTGGCCGTCATGAGGAGGAAGACTGTGATCCTGCTCAAATGGCTCCACAAGAACTCATTAGCGATGCGCACGGCAGAAACAAATTTCTTAAAGGAAAAGACACGGAGCGCTGTAGAATTCAAAAAGGGTATACTTAGATTTATTGCCATTGCTAAAAATTTTTCCAACTCTCTATTTGCGGGATTGTCCGTGGGGTCGCGACTCGCCGTTTACCCTCGTGTCACATTTCATTGGGTTGCAGTAAAAAGATAAATAACCTTAATTGCACACAACATAAGTTCAGAATAGAAAGCTCTTTGGAGCTCACTAGCTCGAATGCGCAAGTGCAACTAACACTTCCTGACCATGTCCGGCTGCCGGCACAAGCCAGTGGAGCCTTGAACATGGGGCCCCAGTTAATAGCCCCAAAATCTCTTTCCTGTCTCTCCCATTAATGTTTCTTCTTCTTCCATCTTAAGAATTTTTTTGACATAAAACAACCCCTGCTATGTTTTTGAAATTGTATTTTAACAATGTTTGTTGACTTTATATTTGATTTTAGTGTCCCTGGAGGTCAAGAATAGTTTAAATTCAAAACAAATGACAGTTCAGGTTACACTGATAATGTCAGCGCTTGAGAACATCTAAAACACCCTTATTATTAACAAAAGTGTTTAAGTACTTGAGGAACAGTTCAGGTTACAGTGGTAATGTCAGCGCTTGAGAACTTTTAAAACACCCTTATTATTAACAAAAGTGTTTAAGTACTTGAGGAATAAAAGTAAATTTTGGACATGACTCCTGTGGGACATTTTGGCAATACTAGCTTCATTATCTTGCAGCTCCTCAGTTCAATTTTGTTTCTAGAACTCGCCCACTTCTATTGAAAAATCACTGCAATGCATTGTAGGACATGGGGGAACACTTCTTGTGCAATAAGTGTTTCATTCTTCAAGAGGGACCTGAACAATCCCTTGTCTTGGGTGAGAAAAGTCATGCTACGGAAGGCAGATGCTGCTGCGAAGAGCTCAACGAAATCTGCAGTTGTGCACGGCAAAACTAATTTGCGAGTGGGGTGAAAAGTTGAGATTTTCTCTTGCATGCCCGCTGCAGTCTTCACTTTTTTGGGAGCTGCAGGTTCTAGCTTTGTTTTGTTGTAGATCAAATCGCTGCTATTGATCGATAGCCAACTTAAATCTCGAGCGGTGTTAGGATCATATGTGCTTCTCAACACAGGTTGCTATGCTTTGTAAAGTTCTAAAACTAGAGTAGCAACACTAGCGTGTATCAGAGTTGCACTGCAAGAGGAGTGAACACGTTTCATGGCGTGTACAGTAAAATCTTGTTTATCCAGACCTCGTTAACTCAGACTCTCGGCGCGGTCCCGGCAAAACAGTGTATATTTCAATGAGGTCAAATGCTCATTAGTTTGGAGGGATTTAGCCGCGCACCGGTTATCTCGGACAACTCCGGAGAGGGCTATCGGGACTCCAGAGTCGCGCGATCTCGGCGGCTTGGAGGCTCAAGCACCGCTTGCCGTAACCGACGCACTGACCGACAACAGAACCGGAGTTTTGGAGAAATCGAAACCGAGCGAACAGCAGAATAAGACCATGATGATAATGAATGAGGGGGAAGTGGCTAGGTGGCGCATCCAGTGTCTGCTAAAAGCTGCTCGCTACGCCTACTGGTCTACTTCGTGTCTTGGTTTCCTTGTGTTATGACTTCGCGTGTTGCGGCTGTGTTTGTGTGCGTTGCCGCCGCCGTCGCGCTTGATGGCGACCGTCACAGGAGTTAAGCGGCCACAGCAGCCAGCAAGTGATCTTGAACCAAAGGTTATGATATTGAAAGAAGTGAATGCAGGTGTTTCTCGACAGGAGATAATGAAAAAGTACGATGTTCAGAGAAGCACCTTAAGTGACTACTTGAAAAACAAAGAAAAAAATTTTCCAGGCGTTTCACAGCGGCAAATTCACTGGAAAACGAAAACGACTAAGGACGGCAGCACACTTGAAGCTGGAAGACGCATTGCTACGGTGGATAACAGACATGCGGAACAGCCAGCTTCTCTTGAGTGGACCGTTGATCTGTCAGCAAGCTGAAAGGTACGCACTTAGAATGAACATCGAATCTTTCAGTGCGTCTGAAGTCTGGTTTGCCCGCTTTGAAAAAGGCACGGGTGGGTCTTTCGAAACGTGTGCGGGGAAAAAGCAGCAGTGAATGAACGGCGTATTGCTGACTGGAAGACTACTGAGCTGCCCCAGTACCTGGCTCGTTATGAGCCTGCCAAAGTCTTCAATGCCGATGAAACGGCTCTCTTTTTTAAAGCCTTGCCGGATAAAACGATCACGCTCAAGGGCGACCCGTGCGTTGTAGGGAAGAGGAGCAAAGAAAGGATCACTGTGCTTCTCGCTTCAAATATGTCGGGCACCAAGCGCCTGCCACTGCTAGTCATCGGGAAGGCATGTAACCCAAGGTGTTTTAAGAACATTCACCACTTTTCTGTGCAATATCGCACTAACAAAAAGGCCTGGATGGCTTCAGATATTTTCCAAGCTTGGCTGCGCCAACTCGACCGACGTTTCTCCACTAACAAGCGCAAGGTTTTACTTCTAGTCGACAATTGCAGTGCTCATACCAGAGTGACAGGGCTGGAGTGCATCGAACTTGTATTTCTACCTGCAAACACGACGGCTGCTCTGCAATTGCTGGATCAAGGGATAATTCAGCACGTAAAAAGCAGGTACAGAAAGCATGTGCTGGAACGGATTCTGCTGTGCAAGGAAGCAGGGCGAGAATATGAACTGAGTCTCCTGACCGCAATTCACATTTTAGCGCATGTCTGCAGCGACACGCCACCCGCGGTCATTGCAAATTATTTCCATCACAGCAGCTTTGTCCTCCTTGACGACTCGGATATTCCTCCAGAGGCCACTCCAGAGGACACCCGCGAGCCCACTGGAAATATGGACGACGAGGTGAATGACAGGCGTTTTGACTCTCTCCTTCCTAGTGCCATCAAGATTTTAGACTACGTCGCTATAGACTATCATATTGCCGTTGCTGGTCCGCTGACTGACGATGATATATTAAGTGCTTGATGAGGACCAAAATCACTGTTCCGATGATGACGGCCAGGATGAGCCGACGTGACCTCGCCGCACCATGCAGGAGGCCGCCGAAGCCCTTGCTGTCCGCGAGGAGTTCTGCGCTTGTTTTCGCGACAGTGAACGTGCACACCACCACCTGATTGGATTAAATAAGATCGTTCTGTCAGAAATTCCGACGGTGAGGCAGGCAAAAATAACGCACTTTTTTAACAAATAAAGGTTTGTCTGTGCTGTGTACGTTTTTCTTTGGTTTTCATGGTCCATTGGATAATTTGGAATTCGGTCAACTCGGACATTTTCTCTGGTCCCGTGAGATCCGTGTTAACGAGCTTTTACTGTACTGCTTTTTTATTGTGTCATCCCTCCCCATGTGCTTTTCCATGGTGCTTGCCGGGTCGAAAAAAGAAAAAAGTGCTTAAATCACAACAAATCCCTGCACTGCTTTCAGTTCACGAATTTGAAATATTTTTGTGGTAATCAATTCATGGGGCAATATACTACGATCAAGATGTCATTAGATTATCATTTACAAAGTGGTTCAGGTCCCTTTTAAATGAACGAACTAGTAAAAAGTTTCAATTGCATCTTTCTGCACAGACCACGTAGTAGTGTTACAGTAGCCACATAATGTATGATATGGTGCTACTAGGCCTTTGTTTGTTTACCCATGAAACTTGGCACCTACAGTCTGCACCAGTTACAATGAACCCTCATAATCGGAGAAAAAACATCTGCTGTATCTGAGGTATGCAGTAGCCTCTTGCGGCCAGTATCACATCAAAATGTTACCAAAACCTTATTTTTTAATGATTGCGTTCTTGCTAGTAGAACAGCTAATATAAAATAATCTCACGAATTGTGGCTATGAGGTCAAAAGAACCGGTTGGACGCTGTGCGGCAGCGACATCGAGTACACTTGGGTTTGGTAGCGTCATATAGGAAAAAGTGCATGCGGGAAAATAAGTTTCGTAGAACATCATTTATTTTTATTTCACGAAATGCTCGGTGATGAGGGCCTGCTTAGCTCCTCCTAGAGAAGCCTTGATCACATTGTGTTACATTTCTGTGAGCTGCAGAACTACCGTGGAGAGTCGCGTTGCTGCTGCTGAAAACATCCTTTCAGGGCTTATATATAATCTGTGGCCTGGGAAGAAGAAAGCTTAAGAGGAGCTTCAGCCTCTTCACTACTGTCTTCTGATAGTGGGTCAGAAGAGTTGTTCACAGGTGCTGCAATCTTGTCATCTGTCAGTTGTTCGCTGTCTGTGATGCCATCATCGAAACGAACGAAAGTCTGTGAAGTCCTTGGCGCCAAAAACGCCTCGGATATGGGGCCTCGCACTTTGCACACATGTATCTTGTGGTGCAGTGCTAGGTGTGTCATTCGCTCGGCAAGAGCCCTGCCTTCTAGAAGCAATTAGCATTTGCGAATGACATAGATTTTTCGCTGTGCCCAAACTCCCGGGAAAACTTCCACAGGAAACTTGACATCAATTGTCATTTCCCACTTGTCCTGCATATGAAAAAGCAGGCACTCTTAAGTGCAAGGTGGGTTCAGTTTGCAACCTTAATGGAATGGACCACACCTTGATCGATTGGTTGCACTGCTGATGTTGCATTAGGCAAAAAGTACTCCAGTTTCTTTGCCTCAAGTGAATGGGGGTTGCGTGGCAGACAAATACTTGTCTAGAAAGAGTTCTCCTTCTCCATCCTCCTGTCAAACTTGAGCAGCCAACTGTCGCACAGATCTTTCATCATCAATGCTTTTTATTAGCCTCCCAGTTTACTGACAGGCTTTTCATGTGAGGCAAGGCACGAGGCCTCTTTTACTTTCCAATCAGTGAAAGTCTCATCTTCTCTAAGCCGCCCGTATAACGAAAAAAAACAAACAAAAAAACACCACAGAACAGATAAGGGCACTTTTGAGCACTTTCCACTGTGACACTGTTCGCTTGAGTATGTGTATGTCTTGCTCGGCTTTGCTTTAAACACAAGTCCACTCTCGTCTGCATTAAAAATGTTTTGGTCCTAATATTTCGCAAGGAGAGTGTGTAGCTGATTTGTCTACCAGCCCGCGACAACGCTCTCATTGATGCTGTCGGGCTCTCCACACATTGCACTGAACACAGCACCATGCCGTGCCTTAAAGGGGCCCTGCAACACTTTTTGAGAATGGTCAGAAAACACTGCCAATCGTTAGTAGAGGCTCCCGAGAACACGGGAGCAAAATGTTATAGCACAGCACATGGCCTGGAATTCACAATAAATGATCAAAGCCAGCTAAAGATTGCTTTATCTCTTGAGAAATGATGAAAAACGCTCAGAAATCACACATAGATTACCCATCCATCAGCCATGAGCTGATTTGAACTTGGCGCGCTCAGTTGTTACAGAGATCGCCGCAAGAGGCGGTCACTTGTCCACGCGTGCGCGCACAATCCCATTGAAAAACTTACGTGTTTGAAGAAAAAGAAAGAAAAAAGTGCTAAAGGTCACGAAACGTGTGTGATGTTTGTGTTTGTCCCTCCCGTCCCTTCCTTCTTAGCCTCCAGTGCTTTCGTCGGGACGAGAGAATGCGATTGCAGCGTGTGACAAATCTTTGCAACTCCGCTCGTACCAGACGGATTTTAAAAATTTTTGCAGGGTTGAATTTGTGAGGCAATGCAGTTTTCGAGTGAAGTAATTGCGTGGTTACTCAAAAAAGTGTTTCAGGGCCCCTTTAAACTGGCTAATCCAGCCTTTGCTGAAAATGGCGTCGCTATGTCTCAAAAAACAGCATCTTGTTCAGCTCTGCTTCTGACCAAAAGTCTGTTAACCGACAATATTTTATAATATACTATAGTTGTTTCCTAACATATATCCGATGTCAGCCTCGTATAACTCTAACTTTAGTCTATTGTAGCCGATAGTCCGCTATAGCAGGGTTCGCTTTGAGTGGAGTGAATGCCATTTAAAATGCATTGTGACCAAACAAACCTACGGATGTGGTCTGATGTAACTGGAAGTCTGTTGACAGATCTGTTATAACAGGCGTAGACTGTATTTGGGGATGCTATGCATGTGGGACATGTATTATGCAAGAAAACATTGTGCCAGCTCAAGAGCTCTGAAAAGTGGTGATGGCATATGCACCGCATCTTTGCCTTTAGTGCACCTAATAATGTTTGGAACAAGGAGTTCCTATTTACGGGTGAGTATCTATGGATAAAAGTGTTGTTTGATGGCATGTAGAATTGTGTAAAAGTTTATATGGTGATCACAAAGTAAACCGACAGTTTAATGCTGTGGCCTCGGTGTGTATTTTTGTTTCTGTATATTTATTCTATTTGTGCCACACAAATTGTTTTCAATTGCCAGGAAAAGCTTGTAGCTGAGAATATGGCCCTTAGCTGCATGCCCACTTGCTTTTTCATTTGTGGTTTGAAGACATTCGCATGTCTACCTGTTGCAGGTAAAGCGTCAGATCTGGCAGGAGCACCAGAGCCTGTTTGGGGACGAGGTGCTCCCACTGTTGTCCCAGTACATCCGAGAAAAGGAAGAAGCACTGTGGAGTCTGGCACCACCAACAGCTTCTGGTGGCACCACCTCGGAGGCATCATCCTTCTTTGGGCCATCACCCAAGCAGCGGCGCCAGGGTGCAGTTCTACAGCGCCTGCTTGTAATGGTGGGCCGCAACGTGGTTCTCTATGACATGGTGCTCCAATTTGTGCGCACACTCTTCCTTCGAACACGCAACGTCCACTACTGCACCCTGCGTGTAGAGCTCCTCATGGCCCTGCATGACTTGGAGGTGGGCCCTTTTTGCTGAATGGACATGCTGCCAAATTAGAGGCATTTTGATTCTTCCTGACTTGTTTCAAGTTTGACATTATGCTCCTAGAAGTGTGCGAGCAGTATGGTGGTAGAGTTGAACCTTAATGTAAAAAGCATCAGTATGATGAAGCAGTAGTGAAATTTTTGTTCATACTTTATTTCAGTGAAGTAACCAACATGCTTTCAGTTATAGTTAAGCATATTTTTGTTTGTACAGTCAAACTCTGCTACGAGTGCCGCTTCAATGAAATTCCTGCTACAATAAAAATTCTCGATTCCCTGTCAACAGTCCATAGAAGTCAATGCATAAATATTGTCGCCACAACGAACACTTTTTCTTCGATCGTCCCGCTTCAATGAATTTTTACAATGCAAGTCCAGGCTTCGATATTTATTGCTATGTAGTAAACCCAATCTTTAACCTTTCAATGCATTTTCAGAGCCTGAAAATGCGTCAACGAAGTCTAAAATACGTGTTCGCACCACCAGAAACTGCCTCTGTTCAACAAGCATGGGCGCCGCCATTGCTTGATAGTGATAGCAATGAGACTGCCCTGCTTTTGTCACTGGATTATTTTGAGCCGGAGACGATTTGACGCTGAAGCTCAGTCGCCCAGTTCATGGTTTCCTTCATGCAGCTGCCGAGTGCAACTGTGGAACCATGCCTTTTCCGATTACGATGCTTATCATGTTTGCACTTGGCCAGTGTGTTAACTAATCAGAGCAGCTGTTCGTTCGCATTATCAACAAAATCAGCTAGCTGCAAGTGATGGATGTTAAAAACGGCATGGAATAATGCAAAAGTCACCACTCCACGATACCCTGCATACATTTCGGCAATGTCAGATACTTTTGATGGCAGGCAGCTGCTGGTGTTAACGTGTTACTGCAACTGTTCGGTTTGTTCACGAAGGCGGTTTTAGGCATGTTTCAGCGTGCTTTTCATCATTGCCTCACTGCCCCGCCGCGGTGGTCGAGTGGCTAAGGTACTCGGCTGCTGACCCGCAGGTCACGGGGTGGAATCCCGGCTGCGGCGGCTGCATTTCCGATGGAGGCGGAAATGTAGGCCCGTGTGCTCAGATTTGGGTGCACGTTAAAACCCCAGGTAATCAAAATTTCCGGAGCCCTCCACTACCGCGTCTCTCATAATCATATGGTGGTTTTGGGACCTTAAACCCCACATATCAATCAACCAATCAAGCGATATCGCGTGCAAAAGAGTTGGCTGCCAGCCTTACTTCGTATGACATTAAAATTTTTTGCTCTCGCATTCATTGCATTGCATTTAAAGTGCCGTCGTGTTGTTGCCAAAGCTAATCGGCTAATCGTGAAAGCTATGAGCCTGCAAACTTGCGGGTGGCACAAGACGGAAGCACGTGACGAGTTGACCTCGCATTATCAGTCGTCCCCGTGGTCTCGGAGAGTTTTCATCAGCGTCTAATCTGACATCTCCTCGGTGGTGACGACACGGTTGTCTGCATTAAAAAAAAAAAGCCAAGCTGAATGTTGTTGGTGGCTACACCATGCGTGCGCAGTGAAACCATGAGCGTGCGCATGGCATCGAAAACAAAGAGCGAACGACACGGACACCGCGAAAAACATTTTGGTAAAGCGCTCGTCATATGCAGCAGGGCCCCCACGTATGTGACGCTAACTAAAGGTGTGGCGCTGCCAACTCAAAAGTACTTTTCTTTTTTCTTTTGTGTTTGGTTTGAAAGGGGGGGCACATCCGCACATGCACCCTTGTCTGCAAGAATGGTGGCATATCCGACTCATAGGGCGCAGCCCTGCCTTGCGCTCACCCGCGCGCAATAACGAGCGCTCGTTCTTGCCTTGTGCACCGTGCACACTTCGTCGGCGGCGGGCCCCCCAACGGAAGATGGATGCTCGTACCAAAATGCCAGACTCCGTGGCAAAATTCCTTGCATTTCCGACGGGAACATTCATAATATCAAGGTTGTATTCCACTATTACTTTGTTACATAAAAGTCACAAATACATGTGCTTCTATGAAGCAAAGGCAGGGAATGAAAAAAAAAGCTTTGTTATATTGAGGAATTCGTTATATGGAGGTTCGTAATAAGCATTTTTAACTCTATGTGCCTCAAAATATATACCGAACTTACTCGCCTGATGAACGTACTCGCATAATAAACGTTACCCTACATAAATCCGCTGCATTCCCGCATACCGACACGAGGCGCCTCCTTGCCCATTGATGTTTTCCATTTTTTTTAAACCAGACCCCCTCGGTTAGCTTCCTTTGCCCACTGCTGCGTGCGCAGTTTTGTTTTTCTTTCTATCCATGCACAGAACGTCCAGTCTTTTATAATTATCTGCGCCCACAGGACAGATAAGAAACAACAAAATTAAAGAAACAACTAAGAGAGACACAATGGGCTTGACTGCAGGTGCGGCACAGCAAAGTTTGTAGCTTGCAGTTGGCGCGAATAGTACGGTTGCATCCTGGTGGCATGAACCACATTAGAAGAACGTGGTGGACGAGAGTGGCGCAATGTCTCCACTAGGACAACTTCGTAGTTGACTTCACCAATGCGATGCAGAAGGCGGTAGGGTCCAAAATACTGGCATACCAATTTTTCTGAGCTGCCGCGTCGTGGTATAGGCATCGGAATCCAGACTAGGTGGGCCACCGCTCTGTGATGGCTGTTGTATCGGTGAGCATCTTGGTCTTGTTGAGACAAAATGCGTTGCCTTGCAAGATTTCGTGCTGTATCAGCGCGCTGAATGAAAACGTTTGTATCAGGAGAGGTGGTGGCAGACGGAGTTGGCAGGAGCATTACGTCAAGCATTGTGTTCACATCACGTCCGTAAGCAAGTAAAAGGGGAATCGTTTTGTTGAGGTGCTCGGTTAACCCATTGGTCTGCAGGTAATATGCTGTTGCTGTTCAGTGTGTGGTATCACTCAGCTGCAAGCTATCATAGAGCAACTGCTCTGTGAAGGCTGTAACTGGATCTGTGATGGCAACAGCTGGGGTGCTATGGCAGAGAATGATGTTTTTGATGAAGAAGTTGGCCACATCGAACGCAGTAGCTCGCTGAACGGCTTGGGTTTTGCAAAATCCAGCGGTTGTTAGCTGTAGACTTGGGAAACTGCCTGAGCAAATCCATGGCGACCTGTTCTAAAGGTGCATGCGGAGGCTGTAGGAGACCAGCTGGTTTCGTAGGGAGAACTTTGCGGCATTGGCAAGCAGTACAAGTTTTGACGTACTGCTTCAGGATTTTTTAGAGTTTCCGCCAATAGTACTTATGTTTAATCCTCGTTAGGGTGTGGGTGAAGCCAAAATGCACGGACGATGGCTCGTCGTGGCATGCACTTTTACGTAAAACGTCGTGGAGAGAAGCAGGAACTACTAGCAGGTAAACGGTTTGCGTGGAATGAAAGTTGCGCTTGTAGAGGACGTTGTTGCATAGATGGCAGGATGACAAATTTTGCGCAAACTGACGGGGAAGTTGTGGGCGACGTCCTTTGAGGTATTCTATTGGTTGTTGCAGTTATGGGCTATGGCGTTGCTGTTAGGCCACATTAGATGCGGCTAAAGCGGAAAGTAAACCGCAGTGTTTGTCAGAATCCTTTGGAGCGGTCTCTACAGGGACACAGCAAAGGCAGGCGGTGTCGGCATGTTTCTGGCCAGACCGGTACAAGATTGTCAAGTCCAATTCCTGCAGCCGAAGACTCTATCTTATAAGACAACCCGAAGGATTTTTGAGATTCGCCAACCAGCAGAAAGAGTGGTGATCGCTGATGATACGGAAGGGCCATTGGTACAAGTATGGCCAAACCTTTGTAATAGCCCACACGAAGACCAGGCATTCCTTTTCAATTGTTGAATAATTCTTCTCAGCAGAAGACGACGCGTGCCTAGCATAGACAATAACGCGTTCGACGCCTTTTTGAAACTGCACGAGCATAGCTCCGAGATTAAGGTTGCTAGCATTAGTGTGCCTTTACGTATCTGCTTCTGGTCAAAGTGACCAAGGATCGGTGGGTTTTGAAGATGTTGCTGAAGCTCACGGAAAGCTTCTGATTGTGCCGAGCCGCAGGTAAAGGCGACGTCGTCCTTGATCAGTTGTTGCAAAGGTTCTGCAATTTGAGAAAAATTTGGCACAAAACAGCAGTAATACGCACAAAGGCTTAAAAATAGGTGCACATTTCGCTTTATCTTTGGCATCAAGAACAGAGCAACTGTCGTGGCTTTTTCGCGGTCAGGACACACACCTCTACTGCTCACGATATGGCCCAGGAATTTTAGCTTTTCGTATCCAAAGTTACACTTTTCTGGCATCAGAGATAGACTGGCAGTACGAATGGCCTGAAGTACAGCCTGAAGCCGCTCGGTGTGCTCTTCAAGCGTCTTGGAACGAACAACTACGTCTTCAAAGTACACTTACCACGAATGCCATATCAGGTCAGCTAATACAGTGTCCATCATTCGCTCGAACATAGCTGGAGCGGAATATAACCCAAAAGGGAGAACCTTAAGGGGAGACGCTCCTCAAAAAAGCTTTTTTTTTTTAATTTCTACTCATAGACACTTGAAAATTTTGTTATTAATATAGTTTTTCATGAAGATTTCAAATACGCAATCATTTTTTGTATAGCTGCTATAGTTGTTTTGCCAGTACTCTTTTACGTACTTAACTTTTAGCAAAAGCATTGTCTGTGATCTTATTTGACTCTTGGTAGATTGTAAAGTGCAAATATCTATCCAGATATGTCACAGAAATATTGGAACCAAGGAAAAAAATTGTATTGAATGGCTAATTATTTTCAATCTCTCTTGAAACAATAACCTAATATTTTCACAACTTATTCTGGTAGGCATTGCAATTTCAAGTAAATATTTGCATTCTGCATGTGTTGGAGAATATACATGCCAAGTTTCGTTATTATACAATAAGCATAAGTGTCTAAAAGGCTGCCTGGAAAATCTGAAATTGTCAAAAAAGTAAAAA